TTGCAAGAGCAACTAAGACGAATCTGACTTACATATGCCAAGAGCATTATGATCCATTTCTTTTCAGGATCAGGGAAGTAATGGGTTTTGCACAGGTGAAGAAACCCAGTAACAGCCCGGTGTCACCCTTGGGTCCATGTCCTGTGGCTTCACTCTCTGGCTTGGCTGGTAGTGGTTGCATGTGGACTGAACAGTCTGGTGCCTGAAGATGATGGACGATACTGAGTCACGTTCCTGGTGCTGTTGCTGATTTGTGAAATTCTCATGTCCAGCTGCAGAAAACAAACATTTTTATGGATTGGAAGACCGTATGGCAGAGCTCTGTCAGCAGCTTGTGTTTGACTGCAGAACACCAGAACTCTGGCCATCTACATAAGAAGATAATGTCAGTGCTGCAGAAAAGGCTGACGTGCTGTTGCTGCCCTGAAGTATTAAATATTAAAGCTACTTCAAGTTCCCACCATACTTTCTGTTCTGCTTATGCTGCTGGTCTACTGCTGGTGTGCTACATGTCTGCAATGCATAACTGCATCACAAAATTGTTAGGAGGAGCTGGAAGCTAATGCATATGAATAAGCCAAAGCCAGGGCTTTTCGTCCATCATGAGTGAAGAGCCTTTTGAGATTATGGGGATCAGTGCATAAGCCAAATGCTTCCCTAAAAATGGGAATGGAAACAATGGAAGTCATCTTTAAAAGCAAAAAAACCCCAAACCAACCCATGACAAATAAACAACCCCTCTGCTCCCCCAAGAAAAAAAGGAGGAAAAAAAACCAACCCCAAAACCAACCCAAGAACAGCATAGGGCTTTTGATAATGGATACTCTTGTCTTTTGGACTATTCTCTCTTGCTGAGGAAAACCATACCATCTCAGACAAATTTCATTTCAATGCGAAAGATCTCCTTACAGTCATGGAGGTAGAAGCTCTTTAGAGTGCAGTTAAAAAATGAGCTATCTAGCTGTTGAGGTGCAGAAGGAAACCATGACTTATTTTTTTTTCTCCTTTTTTAAGATTTTCTTTAGGAAAAGTTTTAGTATGTCTAATACAGAGTACTCAGTCTGAAGTGCTTTACAGAAGCCAGTTTATCTGGTCCCTGAACTTGAGGACTTGCAGCAGATCTTTTCAATAGCTTCTTAATGCTTCCATGTCTGATGGCAAATTTCACAGCATGTACCTGAATCACTTCAGTGGCCATTTTATTTAATAAAAATACCACTGTGCTTTTCCGAGCTTTCCAAATACTTTTCTTGATGAATAGTTGAGTGGGGACAGACTTTGTAGTAGGGCCTGTAGCAACAGGACAAGGGGTAATGGTTTTAAACTAAAAGAGGGTAGATTCAGACTGGATATAAGAAAGACATTTTTTACGCTGAGGGTGGTGAGACACTGGCCCAGGTTGCCCAGAGAGGTGGTGGATGCCCCATCCCTGGAAACATTCCAGGTCAGGTTGGACGGGGCTTTGAGCAACCTGATCTAGTTGAAGATGTCCCTGCCCACAGCAGAGAGATTGGACTAGATGACCTTTAGAGGTCCCTTCCAACCCAAACTAGTCTATGATTCTTTGTGAAAGTTCTTTTAGATCCTAGAATGAAAATCACTGTGCATAAGCACATGAAAATTACCCGTGCGTTGTTTTTATGACTTCCCAGAGCCACCTGCTTGCCTTCATTTTGGTTTTCCTTAAGAATTAAATGCTGCTACTTTAAGATACTTCCAAAGCCATTCATTGAGATGATCACAAAAACACAGCCCAACCAGCTTGGTTTTGCATATTTTGAATATTTGTAATGCAAAATTGAAGCTTGTTAAAAGTTGAACAGCTGAAATTGTCTTCTAACAGTAGGTAGGATTTAGCTTGTGATTGAGCTTCAGGCTTTTTTCTGTAACTAGAATTGTCCTGCTGAATACAGCTGGAGTAGAAGAAGGTCACTCAAATAGAAAGACTTCAAAATAACTGAATGGTGGACTTGAATGCTAGTAATAACAGACCAACAACATCTCCCCACCTTACAAGCTCTCCCATTTCTTCTTGTGCATGTTTTCTGTTATGGCCTGAAACGTAGTGCAATACTGAGAAGATAGCTCTTGTTCCTGAAGCAGATGCCAAACTTAAACATTTTCCCAGATGTGGCCTCCTGCAGAACAGAAATGAAGTCTTTTGTCTTTCATCAGCGATTAGGTACTTGTCTGACTATGCAGGATCAGGAATCCAACTGGGTTCAAACAGGGGTGATCCTCTAAGAACCGCTCACAAAATAAGCTTTTCTTCCCTTGGGATATTACTCCAAATGCTTGGTTGTAAAGGTGTTTGAAATCGGTCATGTTCTACAGAGTCGTCTGACTTGATCTTTTGTAACCCAAATTTCAATAAATTGGCAGCATTGAGCTTCCCTGTTCTGTTCCTTGTCAAGCCTGCACTCCTGCATGGAGCTGTCTCGAATGAAAGTTGGAAGTTGTAGGAAGGTCCAAGCCAGTCTGCTTCTGCCAAGATGAGTTGTTGTCAAGACTACAGATTTTGATAACACTTCCCCCCCTTCCATGTGTCATTTCATCAGTTGTATGACCAGTAATAGTTGTGTTTCAAGTGCTCTGACTGATGGAGGTTACTATTGCCTCTGACGATGCCCATCTAGCTCCCGCTTAAGTGTTTCCAGGTTATGTGCAAGCTCTGATAGACTCCGTATTGCCAACAGCTTGCCTCATGTTTTTTAAACTTACGTTGCAAGTAAAATAATGCCAAGCATTTTCTGGGAGATGGGGGAAAATTGTCACCAGTTGGTAATGGTGGATGTTAAGTATTTCAGGCACTTTTGACCGTAAGGCAAGACCATGGTTTTTGTTAAAGCTGAGTTGATTGAATCAGGCCAAAGCAGTTCATGTGACTTTAATTAGATATTGACAAGATAAGTGTAAGTGTTGAGATTAATATACTGAATAGAAGATATTTATAGTGTATATAAATTTTTGTTAGTGATAAATAGCTGGAGTGGATTTCACTTGCTTCTAGCAAGGCTTCACTTTGCCTGTGTCAGCACAAGAGGTTCCAGTTTTGGGTAGATGTTCAAGTTCAGTATGGTGTCAGGCTATGTGGGAACTCATGTTTTCTCTTGCCTCTCTTCTTATCATCTACAGCTATGTTTTCAGCTGTTTTGTTCCAGTATCTTTCTTTGGAAATCCCTATTTGTATCTTACTTGCATCTTTTCCTTAGTTTGAAGTATTCTTTAAATTGTAGAGTGAAAGCTGCTAATGAAGCATAGTTACTAGCGCTAAAGCATCCATTTGCTTATGGGTTTTTCCTGACATGGATTACTTCCTAAATAAGCTTCTGGGATGTTGATTTGTGGAGCTGAATAGGTGCTTGTAAACTTGAGGGACCACTTGAAATCTGTGCGCAGGAAATCCCGCTCAAAGGAAAGAATACCAGGTTTGAGCTTCTGTGGAAGCTTTCTGATTGCAAAGGTAGTCTTCAGAACACTGTTCCCTTCTGTCTCTTGTCTCTGCGTGGGCAAGTGGGAGCTTGCAGAGATGGAAATCTCCATTCTTGTGGTTCTAGTAATAACTTTGAAAGCTGACGTGTTTTACCTCTGAGCTGCGTTGATGGGTTAGGTGTCATGACATTGAAGATTGATATGAAAGTTTGTTTCGTGATTATTAGCTATATATTTTATGTGTGGGAAGTACCTATGTATCTTTCTTCAAAAGTTGAAAATACAAGTAAGTATCGCTTTCTGTTTGGTCACCCCTTTTTGTGTAGTAGTGAAAGCAGGTTGTATGTGAAGAGGAAGAGTGCAAACTGAAATGTGTTGATAAAAACGGTTTCTGAGGACTCAGTCTCTTCATCGAGCATCCTAGAGGAGCAACAAATTCCAGCAGCTGTTTCTCCAGGTCTTGTAGCTGCTGTTAATATTGGGGTCGATGTGGCTCATCGGCATTTGAAATAATTGTTAGATTTTGAAGATAGGTCACCAGGCCTTTTTGTGTAGTAGTGAAAGCAGGTTGTATGTGAAGAGGTTTCATGCAAACTGAAATGTGTTGATAAAAACGGTTTCTGAGGACTCAGTCTCTTCATCGAGCATCCTAGAGGAGCAACAAATTCCAGCAGCTGTTTCTCCAGGTCTTGTAGCTGCTGTTAATATTGGGGTCGATGTGGCTCATCGGCATTTGAAATAATTGTTAGATTTTGAAGATAGGTCACCAAGTTGGGTGTTCAGTGGAGATATTACATTAATGCTGGCAGACAACGTATTGTAATGATTTTATTAGCTCTTTAAGGTTTTCTCACCATGTATCTTCTTTCAGGGTTGAGGCGCATAACTAACGGCTTTGAAACGGGTGCTGCTTATAAAAGGTGGCAGTTAAGAGGCTGGAAACTAAACATGGCTTTTGAGATTGTGCTGAAGTGGCACCTGGCTAGATGATTTTAGCGTTGAGTTTGGAAAGTGATGTGGTACACTGGTGGCAGAAGACTGTCTTTCTCTGGATTAGGAGCAGTTGCAGATACTGGAACTCTCCCAGGATCTGGAAGCTTCTTCCTGTCAGAAATAACTTCTGCAAAGTAAATATGTGCATGGGGGAGACGGACCTTATGCATAATCCTCATCTATCCATGTTTTACATATAGGCTGTGTTTAGTTGCCCTGAAGAGACCTGTCAATGTGGTGAATAATTAAGGATTTATATGAATTGTTGACTGGTTTATAGGCTGGTTCATTAGGTCAATAATTTTCTCTGTTGTGTCTGTTTACCATGCAATGTTTTTTAGACCATAGTGAGCAGCAGTTTGTTGAATCAGACTCTCCATGGGGCAGCCTGTCTGCTGCGTGTCTGCCTCTGGTAGACAGCAAAACGCTCATTTCTAGTCTGCTGTCGGCAGCAGATGTTAGTAGTGTAGACATACAATTGGATTTGTTTAAAATGTGGTTGAGATTCTTGTTTATTTAAAGGTCTCTCTTTTTAAGTGTCAGTGTAACCCTGCTGATTCTGTGTTTTGTTGCAGAACTACCCATGAGTTCTTGTTCGGTGCCCTTGCTGAACTTGTAGATAATGCCAGGTATGTGCCTGAGACTGCCTAATTCCCAAGGTAAATTCAGTTAAGATTTAATTAGCCCGTCTATTTGTTGATCTTGAGCAATTTTCACTTCTAGTAGACTTCATGAAAAATACAAAATAGAAGACACTGCTGCAGTTTAGTATGAGAATTTCCCTTGGTCCTCTTATACCGCCACATCTACCCCCTAAAAAAAAAAGTGTTATTCCTGAAAAGGTAAGTTTGAATGAATTGTAGAACAACTCAGATTGGAAGAGAAATTGTTAGAAGACACAAGATTGATTTAAGGAAAAAATAAGTCTGCCTTTTTGTTTAAAGAAAATAATAATTACTGGAGCTGGGACTCTCTTAAGATACTTAGATAATCCTTGACTCTTAGTATCAAGCGTGGTGATAGGATGAAAATGAAATCAGAAGCGGGATGCTGAAAAACAGAGCAAGAACACTTAGAGCAATTGTGACACTTGAGAGGAGACTTGGTATTTGGAAATCGCAAGTTTTAGGCCACATTTCTCATGTTTGCATTCAGGAATCCAGGCTATAGCTGTGTCCCAAGCCTTGAATACTTATCTCTTGAGCTTCACAAAATATTCTGATGTGGCATTATGGAAATATTTTGAGGTCGCTTTCTATCAAGCGTGAATTGTCACACTATGCAATTCGTAATGTAAGGAGCTGAAACTGGAAGATTTCTGTGTAGGAAAAATTCTGTGTAGGGAATCAGCCGTGTGTGTGCGCGCACTGTTGCCGTTTTCACTTCTGCTACAACTTAGTTAAAGGTAGTGTCTTTGAGATTAATGGGTGGTTTTCTCTTCAACCTCTTGGTTCCTTCTCTGGCAAAAGAGAGGTTGGCCTTCTGGGAAGGAGGTAGCTGTACTTGGCTGGAGATACAAAGACTTTGGCATTTGGGAAGTGGGGTTTTATTACAGCACAACAACTGCACTCTTCTGATCAGCAAACCAAGGGTATGTGATGGTCTACGTGAAAAAAAATTAAAAACTGGTTTTGAGGAGAGGGCAGTAGTGCTTTATATGCTGCTTTTTCAAATACAGAGGAGGGTGCACAGTGTATGAAGGGCTTTTCCTAAATGATCTTGTAATGACAGTTTCCTATGACAACCTTGAATGTATTTGGATGGAATTTTATGTGGAGTTACTAAACTTCTCATAGGCAGCTTGACAGAAAAATGTAGGTATTGTTTGTTTCATACAGGAGGGAGCTCAGAAGTGTGTGCTTATTTGATTGCCCCCACCCCCAATATGACTTTTGTTAAAAAGCCAGTGATAGTCACTGTAACTAGGTTTAGTTGTGTGGCAGCAATGTCTTGTGCTGGAGTTTGGGTTCAAGTAGACGAAAAGTAGAACAATGTGTCTTTTAATTGGTCTGTTAGTGCTGACGGTGGGGCCTTTGTGGACTTTGATCTCTGCAGCCAGTTCATTTTGGAAATTATTGCATGTGCCTGGATTTTAGCTTCATTTCTATTTGCCATTTGAATACTAATTGTGTTTTTATTGCTTTGTAGAGATGCAGATGCCACGAGAATAGACATTTATACTGGTAAGTCACTCCTGCTGCTTCCTTGCATGTCAGCAGTTAAGTCAGTACTTACCTTGGATTTAGGCTGCAAATGTGTGTTGTACCTGGTAGAATAAGAGTGAGGGTGTTTGTGCCCAATACTGTGTTCAGTTTTGGGCCCCTCACTACAGGAAAGACATTGAGGTGCTGGAGCGTGTCCAAAGAAGAGCAATGAAGCTGGTGAAGGGTCTAGAGCACAAGTCTGATGAGGAGCGGCTGAGGGAACTGGGGTTGTTTAGCCTGGAGAAAAGGAGGCTGAGGGGAGCCCTCATCGCTCTCTACAACCACCTGAAAGGAGGTTGTAGCGAGGTGGGGTCGGTCTCTTCTCCCAAGTAACAAGCGATAGGACTAGAGGAAATGGCCTCAAGTCACGCCAGGGGAGGTTTAGATTGGATATTAGGAAAACTTTCTTCACTGAAAGGGTTGTCAAGCATTGGAACAGACTGCCCAGGGAAGTGGTTGAGTCACCATCCCTTGGGGGTATTTAAAAGACCTGTAGATGTGGCGCTTAGGGACATGGTTTAGTGGTGGACTTGCTAGTGCTGGGTCCACGGTTGGACTTGATGATCTTAAAGGTCTTTTCCAACCTAAACAATTCTATGATTCTACTGTTTGTCCTGTGCCCCAGTGCCTGTTGTCTTTCAAAAAGTAGTACCTTTACAAATAACTCGGGCAAGCACTTAGGTCAGCCTTCAGCTGAGGTCAGGAAAAGTGAGTACCTGTTTATACTGGATGCTTAAGAAACCTGCTTTTACAATATACTCTTGTAGCTATACTCTGTATTTACTATATTCTATACTCTGTATTTACATACAGTTTAAAGTGCAGGAGAAGTTCTTAGTCATTCTGTAACAAAAATCTGGTGCTCTTTCTTACAGCTTAGCCATACTGGGGTTGTGAAAGTCCTGTTTGTTGTGTTACTTCGGTTGTGAACACTGATTCCGTTTTGTGGGACTTTAAACTTTTGCTTGTGGGAGTAGTGAATAAGTCTTCTCTTGTAGAGCGACGGGAAGACCTACGAGGTGGATTCATGCTGTGTTTTTTGGATGATGGAACAGGAATGGATTCAAGTAAGTGATAGGAAGTTACACTTGCATTTTCAATCTGAGGTTTCATGTTACGGCTTAAGCTGAATTAACAGCTTGGTTCTGTTGAAAGGGGCATGTTCCATGCCTGGATACATGTTCCTGCCTCAGCACTGGCTCTTTTGCACCGTATCGTATATCAAACTCTTCACCTCTTCAGTTGCAGAAAACTAATCTGGCCAAAAGAAAATTGTTTTGCTGCATTATAGAATTGAGTCAGCCTGGCCTGTGGTTTTCCAGCGCACCAAAGTTGGCCTTGGGGCTGGAGGGAGAATGGCGTAGCCAGAAAAGGGAACAAGCACAAGCTTTGATGGGCATAAGCCTTTTCCCTATTAGAGGCTGCCAAGCGGTTAGTGTATCTCAGCTCTAATAAGAAAGTGTGCCATGGCAGAAATTGAAAGCTTAGCTTAGAAAGCATTTTGCCATTGTTTCATCATTGGCGTTGTGATTGGCATCAATACTTGACAATATAAAATCTTAGGAGTATGAGAAGAATGTAACAAATGTACTTCTGCCTTGTTGTAAGAATTGATGTAAATCCGTGTTGTATCTAGTAGCAGAAAAGCCTTCTTGCTTTGCTTCAGCATCAGTGAAGAGCACTGTCAGCCCATACCACCTTCTTTGTGTCTTGAAGACGAGTAAATCCTCCTGTGAGGAGCTCTCTACTGGGCAGAAAAGCTGGGCTAAATTGGAAGGTTTTGGAGAAGGCGGGGGAGATGGGTAAATAAGCATTAACTAACATTTTTGTTCTGATCCCTTGGTATTTTAAGATCCTCTTGTGATATGAAGCATTTAGTTCTGTTTATTAATGCTTATAAAAATACATTAGCATCTTTGATATGCAGATTTGTGACCTGCATGAAGGAATTTAGTTTGAACTCTAGATACCTTCTGTGTATTCTCTGGAATACAATTAAGGATGCTAAACAGGTCTTCTGAGAGTACTTTTCTGTCACCAATGGAATTGAAGGAAGCAATTAAGCCCCATCCATAAAACAAGCTCAGAGACTTAGCTGTGGCCTTCTCACAAGCCTTTGGATCAGGGAGAAGAAATACAACCTTTTCTGCATGTCTTGAAAACTACATGTTTGTCTCTGGATTGAGAGTAGAAGGTGACAAATGTCTGTTCTAGCGCCGCAGAGTCTAGTAGCAGTTTTTACACTGTTGTTGCTCCCATACTGCCGATTTTGTGACAAAGTGGGATTTAAGTATTGGCTAAGTATTGAGTTGCTTCCTTTGACTGATCTTTCTGCTAAATCTTGAAGGATTTTATCCTGACTTTGGTAGTCTGAGATACTCTGTAAAGGAGATTGGCAGATACTGTGGGTTGTAGTGATGTTTCACAGCACTATATATCATATACAGCAAATACCATATAATTTATGTCCTTTGACCGTCTTGATGCTTGCATCAAAGTGTGGTTCATTCTGTGTATGAATTTTTTTTTTTTTTTTTTTTTAACTTTAAATAGGCTATGAGGTTATCTTCGCCCTTTTCCAGGACATTGCTTTTCAGAATGTAAAACTGGTATGCAACTGTCCTGGTTTTGGCTGGGATAGAGTTAATTTTCTTCCTAGTAGCTGGTACAGTGCTGTGTTTTGGTTTTAGGAACAATGTTGATAACACACTGATGTTTTAGTTGTTGCTAAGTAGTGCTTACATTAGTCAAGGACTTTTCAGCTTCTCATGCCCTGCCAGTGAGAAGCTGGGAGG